GGACCAAGGGGGGGTGGGGGTGGGGGAGAGAGAGAGAGGTGTGGGGGGTGGGGGGCAGAGATGACTGAGAGCATGTCAAAAGGAAGGTCAAAAGGAGACAAGGCAAGGCAAGTTGAAGGGACTCCAGGATGGAGTTCCAGAGCGTGTGGGCAGGCACACTGATAGCCAACTCCCAATGGTGGGAGGGAGTGGAACAGAGGATGTAAAGCAGGCCGGTGCTCAGTGAGTAGAGAGAGCGACTGGGTTTGTTTGGTTTGAGCAGGTCACAGAGGTAGTGTGGGCATGATCATGGAGAGACTTAAAGGTTAGAATGAGGATCTTAAACTCTTATCTACTGAGCGATGGAGAGTCGATGAAAACAGACGAGGATGGGGATGATAGGCTCACAGAGCCTTAATGTGGGAAAAGACACGAGCTGCAAAGACTTGGTTTGTCTGCAGTTTGTCTTCAGTCAATTTGAAGCTTTTTAAGAAACAGCAACTGGTTCCCAGAGCTCAAACTATGCAAAGTGACAGGTCATGAATTAGGTCTGTGATTTCCAAGATATTCTCCAGAATTTGACCTTGAATCTGAACTGAACTGAATTGAATCGGAACCTTGATTCTGAATGATAGAGTCTACAGTTCTTGTCTTTGTGAGCTGTGTGTTTGTTTTCTAAAAATGTTTACAGCGAGAATATACTCACGGGAAACTGAAGCTAACAGTTATGTTCAACAACATGTTTATTTAGCAGACAAAGTAAAACTGTAGCTTTGTTTTAAACTGCAGGTATTTGTGTGCCTAATATCCAGACTTGGGCAGATACATTGGGGTGAAAAATTTGACACTCAATATGTTGTTCTTTTCATCTGATTTTCCCAAAGAACATTTCTGATTTTTCAGTGAGGAATTTAAGCTCACAAAGACTGGAATGCATGACCCTTAATTTAACGAATGGTTTAATTTATTTAGTTTAAAATTAAACACCAGTAAATTCCATTTGTCTGTAAAACGTATGTTTGATTGTTCTTGTATTGCATCACAGTTATTTGAATACAGTATTTAAAAGCCAGTGACACAAGAGGGCGCCATGACCATAGATAATTCAACAGTGTGTCTGAATCAAATTACAATTGAAGTAGTTTCAAGCTGGTTAGCACTTGATGTCTAATAATGTAATAATCCTTGCATTTGATATAGTACCTTATCAAGTCTTCGAAGAGTCTCAAAGCACTTCACAAAATATACTGTAAAATGGAGTGACTGTATTTTGTGGATGAAACCAGCAGCCAATTGTGCACAGCAGTGTCCCACAAACAAACCATAGGTGGATTGAGTGATCCTATGATATTTAACAATTGGGCTGATTTTAAAATGCTCTGAGAGTGAACCCTTTACTCCTGATTCTCAGTGATAAGAAGTCTGCCTCACTTCCAGCTCATGCAATGGATTGCTATTTAACAGAATATGGCTTTACTCTGATTCTTACATGAAAACAAAATGGCTGCTGCCTTTGTAAGATTCAAAGCCCTAACTCTTTGAGAACTTTGCTAACTAACTCAGTTCCCCATCAAGTTACATGCAGATCATCCTTTCCGAAAAAAAGTTCCCCAGTTATCTCCAAATTAAATTCCTTTCTGTACACACCAATTTACCTAACCAGTCACTGAAGCCAACTTTCTTAGCTCATTCTTTCCATTTCCCTAGATGGTATTGGAAGCAATTCATTTACACAGCACACAATCATGAGTCATGGCTCTAAACCTTCCTCATGATATTGAAAAACAAGTCTGAGAGACTGCGCTAAGGCACAGGAACATTTTCCTGTTTCCATAGTTTTGCAACTAAGCTCATTGTTTCTGACATCCCTCCCCTCCAAAGTACCGTAAACTGATATTGGTAGGATGAGCGAGCCTTTGTCCTGAAGGTGTCAAGCTACTGACATAAAATAGTTGCTCTTTGTCTTTTGTTGAATGGGTGATGATGCAGCACATGATTGCTGGTGATTCTGGTGATACAAATACAATTTGCATAAGTAGGTACATGAATAAATGTACATGTTTATACACGTAACAGCTGAATGAGCCTGTGACTCATTCCACTGTGCATAGCTTTGGGTTCAGCACTTGGTATATTGATTGGACGCCCAAGTTAATTCAGATGATGTCACCTATGCAATGAAACTAACCGGTCTGTATTGATACACTGAAGAAATGAATTTCACTTCTTTCAAGTTGTTACTGACTACCAACGCGTAAACTCAGAATTTAGGTTGACACTTTGTACTGTACAAAGGTAGGCATTGTCAGAAGTAACATTAAATAGAGGCGTTGGCTGCCTTGTTGGTGGTTTGTTAACTATCCCATGGCACTATCTTGAAGAAGACTAGGGAGTCGTCTCTGTGGCCTGGTTAATATTACTCCCACATCCAAATTCACCAAAAACACATTAAATGTAATCATTCTTTGCTGTTTTGGGGATGCTGCAGGTGCAGTTAGCACCTGTAACATCCAGGAAACAGGTTGAAGGCTTGCTATAAAAGTGCAAGCTAAATGCTTGTTAAACAATTGCAAGCAGTTAGCTTGCACTTGTATAGCACCCTTTATGCAAAACAGCATCTTGCAGTGCTGAACCTGTTGTGAAGTTGGACAAGAGGGAGAAGGGAAAGAGGGACGTAACCATAGGTGCAAACAAAGAAGGAAGTCTTAAGGTGGGATTTAAAGATAGACAAAGAGGGGTGAGGCAGAGGATTGAAGCAGGAAGTTACAGAGGTTAGGAGGATAGTGGCTGAAGGCACTATACAAGCACATAAAATTAATCATTGTACTTCAAAAGTAGTTCATTACAGGAAGTGTTTTGAGTTGTTTCCATGTGATAAGGTGCTATATCAACTGTGTTACAGCCTGCACTCTATACTTTACTACTCAGGGCAGCTTCCTTTATGTCATAGTGACCAGATTTGTATGCAGGTGAGGGGTGAATTTACCAATGTAGATCTTTCGAGAAACTTATGTGGATCTAAACTCCACTGATTTGGAAATTCAGTATATCCCAATCCCCCATTTACCTAGTGTATTGCTGCCTGACACAATTTGGACACGGTGAACCTGAGTTAACTCCTATCCCTGGTTTTTAGGTTTTGCTTAAGCATGAAATAGAAAATTCAAACTGCTACAAGAATGGGAATGCTGTTGAACAAGTGTTGAGGAAACTCAACCCTGTATCTGGCTGGCTTTATATTCACCCAACTGTCAAATGGTCAACGCTAAATGGTTTTTGATTACTGCCTTGAATTGGTTATTCATCTCCAGTGCACATAGCAACAAGCACAGTTAACAGTGAAATCACAAACAAAAACAAACATATTAACTGCAACTTCAGAGATATAGCTTTTCATTAAATAGAAAAGTGTTTTGTTTAATCCAATGCTGGTTACAAGTGAGCTTTTGTAAAGAATCAACTGCTTTTGTATTAAATAAGTTACAGAATATAGGATTATGCAAACAATCATATATCCTGTAGCTGGATTGGATTCAATATTTCATATTTCAAATTTCAGTAACCAATCTTGCAGAATTCTCAGAATCTAGATTTGCGATTGTATTTTAAAATTATTTATATTACAATGTTTGTAAATCTTAACTTCTGGCAAATTTCACAAAGGTTTCCTGTTGCGTACTTTGCCTGTTTTCAGTCTAGCCTGCAACTGTTTTGGTGGTTTTCACTGGTGCCACAACAGAACGTTCAAAACTGCATGCCATTTCATTGAGAAACAGGAAATCACTCAAGCCAAATTTCCACATGGATAAACAACACTGACCAAAGCTTTAAAATCTATGACTAGAAGTTAACAGCTGAACAAATATTGTTACTCAGCTCTGGTAGAAGTGCTTGTTATTGATTTATGCACATGTCCTCTGTGGGTGTCGCAAGTGTTTTTGTTTATTTCGGTTGTACTTTAGATATTTTGGTTTACGTTTGGATATTTCTTCCAAAGGACCGGTTACAAAATTTGTTTCATAACCCTATGAAGCTCCTGCTTATTTTGCAAGGTGGAAGTTGAAAAACATATGTCTTCAAATGATCAGTCGCTGGCTACAATATATTTTTATTAACTTCATCTAAATTCTAAAACAATTCTTAACAACACAACTGTAATATGACCACATTTGTATATGTGTGGGTCACTTCATTTTCAGAATCAAAATAATCTGACCCTTTTTACAGAAGGCGGGGCAAAACCTTGGGCAAGTTTCCTTACTCCACACGCCTAATAATAATCCCTCCAAAAACAATAATAAATTGGTCATTTTCAATCTACGACTGTTTGTGGGACATTGCTGTGCGCAATTGGCTGCCGCGTTCGCCCACAAATATACAGTCAATTCACTTTACAGTATATTCTGTGAAGCGCTTTGGGACGTCCTCCCGACGTGAAAAGCGCTATATCAAATGCAAGGATTATTATTATTATTATTATAATGTGTTTCCTGTGATTGGATCTTTCCTTCTTCAACGTCTGCTTCAAGACCTTCCTCTTCAGTCATCTCCATCTCCAGCTTGGTTGGGTAAGGGGTAAAGCAGTGGTGGCCAAACTGTGGTGCTGTGAAGAAGCCATCGCCACACACACCCCCCCCCCCCCCCCCACCCCCACACACAACATTCACTTGAGTCTAGGTAGGTCTGTGTTTGATCAGTACTGTGTTTTCATTGTTTTCTTGATTATTTCCTGATATATGCCATCAATCAAGAAATATTTAATTCGAGAATATTTATTTTGTTGGCCATCCACACAGGTTGAAGATAGTACATTAAACTTGATGCAAAATGAAATGATTTTGTGGGAGCTTATTTACCAAATTTATTCCCACTTATCTTGAAAACTTCCGATTTAGGGACTTTTTTTTCCACATACAAAACTGTTCCAAAAGATCCAAGGTACATTAAGAGACAGAATATCAAGGAGAGAGATGTTTGATCTTGATGTGCTGAACTGAGGAAGTCACACACCACACATTAAATTGCTACAGCATTCAATTTTTTATTACGTGCAAAATCCAATGGTTGAGTTTTACAGAGTAATGCACAATACACTAATACAGTATAGAGGGGTTTTCAGTCCTGTAACTGAAAGCATAATTACTGCCATACTAGTAAATCATTTCTTAATACTGCTATAAAGCAATCACAAACTTAAAAAACAGCTATTCAGTTCTATTTTATGAGGCAATTCTACTTGCATGTGATCCTTACACAAGCAAATCTCAGGGAACAATGTGTTCCTCCATTTGCACTAGTTTAACCGGTTTGGTTATATGTAGGTTTGGCAATTGGCAGTTTTCATCCCTACTCCAAATAATACAATTCAACTTTATTGCAACTTAATGTTTGGGTTTGTAATCAGGTCTATGGAAAAAGTTAGCACCAAACACAAACACCTGTTGAATGCTCCAGTTGAAGGTTGCAAGAGAATACAACAGCACCAGAGCAGGTGACTTGTTGCAGAGGTAAAACTGATGTAGGTGAAAGGGAAGATCAATTCAGTTAATATCTACTTTATGTCCCCCACCCTAACAGCCCAATCATCGGCAGGCATTCTGTCCTCACCCTCTGGCACTCCGTCTCAGAGTCCTTATCTCCCGCCCGTTGTCCAAGGCTCGTCTCAAAACAATAGCTCTTTGAATTGGTTTTTGATCATCTTTCCCCTCCCCTCCTTCCCAAGCCCCTTGGCTCCCACCCCTAGCTTGTGTGCCTACCGGTATTGTTGAGCATTTTAATATGTCCTCCCAATGTAAAAGGGGCTATATAAAAGTAAACTGTATTGTAAGAACTCAAGATTGAGTATGGGCCCCATCAGAAAAACCTGGGTGATAAATATCTGCAGAATCTTCAGGATAAGATAACTGGCTGGCTTGGAGAACAAAATGCACCTCTCACATAAAAACAAGACCAACTCTCTCCAATTTGGTTTTTGGCAGTGTTTGAACAGTGAATCCAGCATGGAATAATTCACTCTGTCTCCAATATTTGGCAACCGATTCAACTCAAATGTTCTAAAACAGAACATCACTAACTCACTATCAGCCAAATCCATCCTTAGTCTTATGGAAAACTGAAGGAAAGAGCCACGTCGTGTGCATGTCACATGAAATATCTTAAAATCCTTGTGAATTTCCGCCGTTGGAGACTGGAGCATTTCATTAATATGCAGAAAGGAACAACTGAAAAGCAGTTTTGCAGTTTGTAATTATCTTCTAGTTGGTTAAATCATATTCCATTGGCATAATAAATTTTAAACTATAGATATCAAACCCTGGTGTGGCCAATGTTTCTTATGTTGCTTGGAACTGTGTGACCTGTGTGCTGGGACAGTCTGGCCTGCAGAACTGCCCATCACTATTATCTAAATCACCTTGCAATTTGTCAGGGGAAAAATAGTGAGACTGGGAATCTATTGTTGTACTTTACACAAATCATTATTTTTTTAAATATCTGTAGACATAGGGACGTTGTGTTAGATCTATATGATGGTTGTCAGTGTTAAGTAATAGAGCACTTCTTGCACTGTAAGTGCTGTGCACACACAGGTCAATATATCACAGGCCAAATGTAGAGTGCAGTTTGTGGTTATGGAATTATATGGGTGTGGGTTAAATGCAACAAGTTGGGTGCCAGAGACAAAAGATCAGTGCTCTAATTCACTGGACCACCCAGTCTGCCAAGTAACCATGGATACTTTAAAGCTGATGTAATTTTACTGTGCTCTGTAAAGCATTTACATAGAGCAACTCTATGCTAGCAATACAAATTGGCCCCTGAAACCTACAGAAGCAACAAGGAAACATAATCTGTTGCATATCATCAAATAGTTTACTCCACAGACTAGGAAAACAACTGACGTGGAATGTTTACATTGCAGTTAAGTGCAGTAGTATGGTAAAGACAGAAATACTTGCACCAACACTGTTTTTTTGCTTCCTTCCCTGCCCTCTGCTTTACATGCCAGATGGGAATTAAGAAATGTGTTTCCAACTGTTGCACCTAGAGTTTAGTTCAACTCTGTGAAAATCTAGTCTGGTAACTGATATTTCATTGGCTGTATTGCCAGGCTGACTGTTTCATAATTCAAGCTTTTCTCTAGTAACCTTTCTTTTAACATATTTCTTTCTCTCTCTCTCTCTCTCTCTCCCTATCCTCACTTTCATTGTTCAGACTTCCCTTTTCCTTTTAAAATTCAACTACGTTACCACAATTCCCTTTACATCACATCACTAAGTCACCATCAACAAAAACCTGGCAGAACAGCATCTGATCCAGAAAAATCATTCGAATTTGAGCAAACAGCAATCTCTATCATATTCACATAGGCACAATTGTGCCCTTGTCAATGCTGTACACAGAAATGTTGCACTCCATTCTGAAGACAGGGTTGAATCCAAACATAAGGGTCAGTAGCAGGATAGGAAACAAAAGATTGAGTGCAACAATAGTGCTTTTTTTTGTATGGCAGCAGTGATGCTAATGATCTGGGGGTGAAAAAATCCCTGATCACTTACATTCAAGATTAAAAAATATTGATACCGTGTCAATATATTGTGAATAATCGTAATAAAAAAACATAATAAACAAGTTACAATTACATGCCCAGATGTTTACAAGAATAATAATCTCTGGTTTAGAAATGCAATAAAAAAAATCAATTAAAAAAAATCAGTTTGCCAGCAACTGCTACCAAATTAATATCTATGGGATCCATAGAAGTCTTCCTATAAACATAAAACCATTTACGCAGCCTGCACCAAAACTGATTTTATTCCCACTTTTGGTCCAACAGTCCAAGGATGCGAATCATCCAGCTATTGTGACTGCTTTTACTGATGCATTGCATCTGACCGGTCTTTGTCACACAGGGGTGAATATTTGCTGCAACACTATGCAAAGTCCAATAGCCAGCAGTGTCTTTGGCAAAGTGCTGCATGCAGATTTCATGAACACTGACAGATGTTCATCTACTAAGAAGTCTACAGCTGAAATAATATACACCCTGGCACGCTATATTAAAAAAAAGCAACCATCAAGGTGCTCAGAGAAAGAAGAAAAAAACATGTACTTCTTCCATTTATTAAAATGCATCACCCTCATCCTCAGAACCCACGATGTTGTTCATGACTATCGTGCTCGGGAGGTCGCTATGAATACGTTTGTAGACAAAATGGAAAATCTGGGGCTGAGGCCTGCTGTGCAGCTCAGCTTTGATTTTCTGTGGGAAGGTGTCGGCCGCCAGCTGCTGCCAAGTGTCATTGATTAGAAGGAAAAGGCCGTAGTTCTCAGTGTCCTGCACTTTGAACTTTGCCGCGCAGAGGTCGCACAGCTCCTCTGTGGTCGTGAACGGCCTGACCAGCAACGTTTTTGCGGTGCAACCACTTTGACCGTCATGGAAAGCCACTCGCAGGTAGTTCTAAGTAGAAAGAAAGAAGAGCAGGATTTAAGGATGTTATTTAGTTAAGTATGAAGGTTCAGGATGTACAAAATGTCCCAATAATAATAATAATCCTTGCATTTGATATAGCGCTTTTCATGTTTTCTAGACGTCTCAAAGTGCGTCACAGAATATACTGTAAAGTGAATTGACTGTATTTTTTGTGTGCGAATTGTGGCAGCCAATTGCGCACAGCAGTGTCCCACAAACAGTTGTGGATTGAGTGACCAAATTATTTTTTTTTTTCTTGAGAGATTATTATCAGGCGTGTGGAGTAAGAAACTTGCCCAAGGTTTTGCCCTGCCGGGAATCGAACCCAGGTCTCTCGCTTGTGAGGCGAGTGCTCTAACCATTGAGCTACCGGACTCCACAGTTAAACTATACAGTTAACACAATTACAGGCATGTGGGAAGCTATTCAAGACATTATTGAAGTCTGTGCTTGTATTTCTATGATTCATGATGATTTGTCCACAAAATACAGTCACACCACTTTACAGAACATCCTGTGAAACGCTTTGAGATGTTGACAATATAAGACCTAAATTAAATGCAAAAATTATTATATACTACAAATTAATCATAAAGGTTCACAGCAGCAGTGTCAGCAACTTGAAGTGTTTGCTTGAGCTGAAAACTTAGAAAATTTTCCTAGCCCTAAACTGTAAAACTAATTTGCTTTATCGATTAAGACTGCAAGGAATTGAGGAAAATTCCTAAATTAATTTGGAAGCAGGTTCTTTTTAGGAATTGTGAAAAACAAGCTTTCAAATGAAGACTGACTTTAAGAATTTGTTCACAGTTCCGTAAAATCTTGAGTAGAATTTCAGGAGCTGTAATAATAATAATAATCCTTGAATTTGATATAGGGCCTTATCAAGATGTCTCCAAGCACTTCACAGAATATACTGTAAAGTGAATTGACTGTATATTTTGTGGGCTATATGTGGCAGCCAATTGCGCGCAGCAGTGTCCCACAAACAATCGTGGATTGAGTGACCAATTTATTATTTATTAAAATTAATTATTAACCCCGGAAAAGCAATCTGCCAAATGACTAACACCCGGATTCCCACTTACTACTAGGTAAACAGAGGTGTGTGGAATAAGGAAATTTGCTCAGTGTTTCGCCCTTCCAGCAATCGAACCAAGGTCTCTCGCTTGCGATCAAGTGCTCTAACCACTGAGCTACAAGACTCCACTGTGTCATATAGGCCTGAATCGATGTTTAGAATTTGCACATCTTGTAACAATTATTATTGCACACTGATGCAAGAGGTGGTATTGGATTCAGTTACATATTATTTAACTTGGTTCACTCTCTCCTCCCCCAGTCCAGAGCAAGCACCAAAAATCCTTCTGGATGTGTACCTGGAAATCTTCCACAGTAGGAGCCGTTCTGTTGCTGGTTGTCCTCCTTTTATGCCATTGGTTAAGGGTATTTCTGGTTTCGGAGCTCAGTAGCCTGGCTGCTTGTTCCTCTTGGAAATTCTTGATGAGTGAGAGTGCTCCATATGTACTGGTCAGGTAATACCCACCTGTACAGAAGAAAAATTATTCAACTTTAGTCACATTTCGAAAACAGTGAGTAGCTGCTCAGTCAGTAAGATCACCTAGACATACAAATCCACACATGCCCCCAGTTTGATACCTTATGGACAATTTCAGGAGTAGATAAGGCTAGAAGGAAATAGAACATCCTGCAATGGAATCAAAATAAATTCTGTCCTGTATTAACTGATCTCAGACAAGTCAGGGGTTGGACCAGACAAATGACATCAATAGACCTGAATGATGGGAAAGAGGAAGGGAGCAGGTGGGAATCGAAAAATCAATCAGAGACCTCTGTTGGGTACGTTAGGTGAGTCAAGATTGTGCTCATTTGTGATAGTCTCCCAAGGCTGCTGCTCATTGTCCAAGCTCACAGGTGAAGCATGACTACTTGGGTAAGGAGAACTGGGGAACTGTGCCCCAGAATGAGTCAACACCTTCAGGAGAGAAGACTAAATTTAGCACTAAAAATATTCCTCTACAAAAAAAATGTTAAAACATCCATTCTCTTTGTTAAAGGATGCTATTTAGCTACCATTGCTTTCTCTCCATTTCTAATCTCTGCATTTTATTGTGGAGATTGTAAACTAAGTACATTCGACCAAACAGTTAACCTTCCTGCACTGCTTTCAAGAAATTATTTCAAGGAAGATGTTTTATACAGAGAAATAATATTCATTTGTCACAGGAAAGTTGCCTTATGGACAATCTCAGGAGTAGTTAAGCGTTGGAAGGAAGTAACATATCCTGCGCTGGAATATTAAGAAATCCATTCATACAGCAGGATGCATTAAACTATGTCGCTGGACAAGTATTTCCGAAATTCAAATGCTCTATTCAGTATTCCCATAGAAAATTTCATGCATTTCCCAGTAACACCCCAAGTTAAGTGCCAGGAAAATATTACGAGAGTTGCCATTGTGTTTGGTTTTCACACCACTTCCAGGGTCGGAGGAGAGGTAGGAGATTTGCTCAGAGGGCTCAGTCCATGCCATGTTTACACTGCCATGGAGGTATTTGAGTTGACAGTCCTTTAGATCTTCTCTCCCCCCACACGAGTATGACTTGTAACTCCTGATGTAGGATTCAATAAGTCATTATCAAAATATTATTTATTCCAAACTCAACTAAACATTTTGGGTGAAATTTTCCACTGCTCAGTACAATTAACTAACTCTGCTGGTTCGTTCTAAAGAAGAAACTGTCACAAGCTCAAGGTTGCCAATATGGATATATTTAAAGGGCCTTTGAAAAATCCTGCTCCTGGAATGTAAACTGCTTGGTATTGCTGTGCACTAACAACTATCGAAAGTCTGAACAATACAGCAACTTGTTTAATAATCCTACTTTGTACCTTCTCCATGAAGCAGTGACGGATCCAACAACTCCATCATGTATTCAATCTCAATCTCCAACTCTGGCATGTCACACTGGGCTATGATGTAAGTCAGCATAGGTAGAAAGTCATCAGCCCCATACAACCTCCCTGGGGACAGAATGGCATGTGTGAGGACAATGCAAAATCCCATATTTTTGGGATGATGTAAACAGTGCAAAGGCAAACAAAAATAGATATCCAATAAGTGGATAGATTTTCACAATCTGTAGAATTTCTCACATTTTGTTTACCAAATGCTGGGTTCTAATATTTGTATCTGTACCAGACTAGGCGCAAGTAAGTACTCCTGCTGGTAATTGGATGTCACTCTGACCCACACAATCTATTTCCAGAGCAGAGTTCGAGGTGAAACGGTTCCGGAGACTGCCAGGTGGCACTATTTGTAACTTCTCCGAGACGCTACCCCATGTGATGGTTAGTTGTTGTTGTTCTCTCACTAACCCATGTTTTAAAGCTCAATCATGTACAATTTCTTTAAAAAACTAAACAGTTGGACAGAAGCAACATGCAGCAGTGATAACCTTCCAGATTTTGCTGACTAGTTTATAAGTCCAAGAGGGATGTGTTATTCTAGGTTTGAATGTGCAGACTTTGCTCTTCGACAATTTCCTTTTTTTTAAAAAAAGAGCAATTTAATTTTCAATTTCCTCTGAAGTTATTTTCCCATAAGTTTGCCACCTCAGTGCCATGTATGCAGGCACATGTGGCTATGCAATGCATCCCAACACTGCACTGGAGTGACAACCTAGACCATGTGAGTTCAAAGTCCGAACACCCCAAACCATGATAGCCTTCTGACTTGGGGCGAAAGTGCTACCAACTCAACCAGACTAATGGACATTGATTGTATTATTTGAAAGTGTTTGATGCCGATATTGGATTAAAAAAAGTGGAAGTGTATCCCATTCTCCAGCATCGACATCCCTCATACTGATTGAGACAGATATTTGTTAGAACAAAACCACTGAGCTTGGCTTTAAATGTGTTGTTTGCCTGCTCTTAGACTGCCTTGCTCAGACAATAGAAATATGCGCATTCTAATCCTAGTTATTGGAGCTGGTGTAAAGCTGTACCTGAATTGTTCTCCATCACATTGTAAATCATTTTGCAGATTGCAAGCAGCAGCATAACTTTCTTCTCGGGAGAGTATGTCTTGTGCATATCAACAAACTTGTGCTTGATTTTCTCCAGGGTAACCGTGTCAGGGATGGAAGTATTTGCCCCCAGCTCCTGAGGCAATTTCTGTTTAACCAGTACCAAGTTTTCCTTCAGCTGTTTCCAGGAGCCGCTGGAGGTGTGGAATTGGTTCAAAGTTGCATACACGTAGGACTTCAGGGGTTTCAGAATGCACTTGTGCATCGCCTTCTCCAGAACAAAATCTGAAAGGAAAAATTCAAAATCAGGTTTTTTAAATTATTTTATTGAAATAAAAAGTGAAGTTATTTATTTTAAGTGTTGTTTCTGTTTCACATAATTGAACAAAAATGGTATTTCCATCTAGATTAATCACATATGGAGAGATGGCCCACGTGTAAACATCTTGAAGGTTTATCAAGAGTCCGCTGCTGTCGTGATGTGTGAGGCACAAGTGTGGAAATGAACATTTGCTATTCAGCAAATCAAAGAAAAAGGTTTCTCAGATGTCAAATTGCTACAAAGAGTTTGCTACAAACATCCCTTTTTTTTAGGAATTGAACCATCCCAAAATATATTTTTTCTTCCCCAATTGCTTTAGGCAGTATTCATTAACTGAACATTTTCAATCAATGTGGTGTTTATATATTATCTAACAACAAACGCTGACTGTGCCTGGTACAGGAAACGCAACTCATTAGCTCAGTTATTTACTCGGCCACAAAATGTCATGAGGCCCTGAATCTCAAGCAGCATAGCTCATCGTTCAGGCAGGCAGTAAACTACAGTATCGCAAGGGTTAATCTAATTATTTACTTTCCTGGATCTGGCAATTCTAAGAAGCCATTGAGTAATTTGGCCCTTCACCCTCTACACAACACCAAAGGATCCAATACAAAATGACACAATCACTTGGCTAGAGAAAGCACTCCGATGGTTATTTTTAGAAACAAAATCCACTTTTTCTAATCTTAACTTGGGAGATGACTGACTTTATCCAGTTAATGCAAACTGCACATTTCAAAATCATGCAAACATATAATTTTGTTGTATTTTTCAAAACATTTTCCCTCTGTAATGCTGTTCTTACGTCTACTACAAGGTTATAATACTATGTTGCCCTTAAGAGTAATTTTGAACCCCCTAAAAAAATAACCTATGAAACATCTGCAATCCAGATGTTTTGTGTCCTACTTTTTTGTTTCAAAGAGCATTTTATTAGACCCTTCCATGGCTCAATTGTTAAACCCACTGCCTAGTGTGAAACTGAGTCCCTAATGTCCAGGAAATTCCCAGATTTAATCCCCAAATTGCAGTGATTTAGCTGATGTTAGCTGAGAAGCCACACTCCATATTGCAATTAAACTCAGTGCTTCCGGCAGGAGAGTTGCGTGGGAGGATATTGCGTCAGTGTTCTTGCTTGATACCAGGTGATCTGTGCTCAGAAGAAAGGTTCAAAGGAAGCAACCCTTTTGGTCCATTCTTTCATTGCTCCAGAATACCCACCTTCATGTCTTCCCATTACAGCCTAATGCTGTTTCTTAAATGAGCTCAGTGTTTTCGCCACAAACATCTTTGCTGTCAATCCCCTCCAGCTGCAGATTACCTTCTATGCAAATAAATAATTTCAGGTGTCTTTATAAAATGTTCCCTTCACATCCCTGAAATTATAACATCCCATGCTTTTTTTTGGTGTATCATAAACTATTGTTCAGGATTTACTTTCTGTATCCTATTTAAAATCTTATATACCTCTATAACCACAACAACTTGCATTTACATGTGCCCTTCATGCAGGGTAATGTCTCAGAGCACTTAACGTCCTCTCTGAAACATCTCTTTTCCAGCCTCATTTATCTCACAGTTTAACCCTCTAATTTTTGGAATCAGTCCAGGAAGCTTGCAAGGAGTTATTATCATCTGCCCTCTACCTAGTGAGGGCTCAAACCTGCATGTGTCGATATTAAATTATCAACTAGTGATTATTCTCTGAAAGAATGTCTGAGCCAACCATCTGTGGCATTCTCAGGAGTCCAGTTCCTTAGCCAGCAGCTCTGCAGTACTCCATGGCACCTCTGATGACAAGACCAACCAGGCTGGCTCATCAGCAGGACATAGAGGAGCACACCAGTGACTGGGGATAAGCAGTCTTCCCACTCAGCTCCTGTTAGCTCTGCAAGCCAAAGCCTTAACAGAAAGGGTGGTCCTAACTGGACGAGTTGTGGGATGCTTGCCAGACAGTCCTTTCAATGGCAAATTCTGCAGTTTTATCTGGTAAAATTCTAGCAGTACCTCAACACACACAGTGAGGTTCCGAATCGGGCTCTTTATCAATCTGTACCTAATACTCTCTGAAATTAAATAAACAGGGTGGGTCCCTCCAGGAACAGAGGGCAGGTATCATTCCAGACAAGAGAATTTCCATTTGTATGTGGCATACCTGGAACTCTGTTTGGTTTGGATACTCTTATTACTAATCCTTGCATTTGATATAGCGCCTTACCACATCTTATGTATTGGTTTCAGTATCTGTCATGAGCCCTGGCTGACCAAAAATAAATTGGGATCAGCATCATTGTTCTCTGTAAACCAGCACCTACAATTAACCTACACTTTAGTAAAATAGTAGTTTTTCATTTAAAACTAAACATAAGCTTATTTTCTCCTTCCAATTAAATAGAGAGATGAATACTATCACAAATTTCCACCACTTTTATATTTCTACCTAGCATTCAACAAGGGTTATTTGTTTTTTGATTATATATTTTAGCCAATTCCAATGCAAAAATTATTAAATGTTATGTTTAGTTACAATGAAGTGCCCAATTACCAGAAAAATTGTGCAAAATACTTTTCAAATAATTCACCACACAGACAGATTTCATGTGGAACAAAAAGCCCTCAAGACAGATGACTGAATGCTAAATAAATCCAACTTAAAGGAGCACTGTCTACAAGAGAAAAAAGTAAACTTTTTTTGGTCTAGTTGGGAGTGGAAGAGCTGAAAATACAATTCAAAGAATGGTTATGGAACGCCTTTGCATTTTGTAAACGCCTAGACAAATATATTTTTAAGAGTCAAGATAATACCCCTTTAAGACTCTTGCTGTGTTTGGGAACAGTGCTGACACACTCTGTTTACATACACACCCTCTTTTGTAGCTTAAAGCCAGGTTTCAACCTTAGTAAACAGAACAAAAAGTACATCCGTTTTCCAGGGAAGTTAAGTTTTTCTTTTTGGGGGGTTGACTTACACAAAGCTGATTCTTTGGGTGGGTGGGGGGTTGGGGGGCAACCACTTAATTTTAAAAGGTGATTATCAAAATACACAGAAGGTTTTTATTTAAAAATCTTACCTATTTCATCTTCTGGTATCAGGGATACTATTGGAGGGTTCAACTCAGAGCTTTGGGTCAAGTAGTTCTTAACCTGGGTCATGAACTGGCGAATTGTCAGCAGCATGTCTGTGCTGGAGACGTGGCAGTCTTTATTTTCCTTCTGGAAGCTGATGTAGTCCTGGATCAGGCACCCAAAGTATGTGCACTTATCCCTCGACATTTCTGTAATCTTTTTAATCATTCTCTTCTCTGGAGTCATAAAGGAGCTGAACACACCACCTACTTTCCGAATGCGTGATTTCATAAATTTGGGAAAGACGAAAGAACTGTGCCTTTTCTGCTTTGGCTTGCAAGGTGGTGGTGGGATGACATCCTGATCACTCTCACCATCAGAATCCTCCAAGCTGCTGGTTGTGTCACCCTCGTGGCTGTAGGGACAATTACGGTTGATGTCCATGGTGCTCGAATCCGACTCCGTTGAAGTAGTAGACATACTCACGTCACTGAGTCTCTGCCTATCTTTGATCTCCGGAATTTGAGGACTCACATTTTCAGTTAATTGCTCGCTGCTGCCTGCTGTGTTTTGCGATGCATGAGCTGTGGTGTCAGCCATCACCACCTCCTCCGTGGTGCGATCGCAGGTTTCCTTTGACACTCTGAGCACTGCGATCAAATTCCTCTCCACTTCAGAGAGGCTGCTTTGTTTCTTAAGACGAGGAGGGGGAATAGGAGGCGACTTGGTTCCTACTCGCTTGCTGGTGCCAACATCTTGACCAGTTTGATTGCTGCTCACGCCTGGAGGGTTAGTCTGATTCATATTGGTGATCAGCCGCGGTGGGGGAGGCCTGGGTGGTGGTGAGCGGGATGTGTCTGTCTCCCTGTTTCTTATGCACTGCCTTTTCAGGCTGCCACTAATATCTTTGTTGTGCACTTCTAAAAAGAGCGGATTTATAAAGCACAAAGCACCATTGGTCTGGCTGCACTCCAACTCTGAGGGAGTTCTCGTTCGTATGGAATGCACTTCGTTTCGCAGAGAGGGTTGATGTGTGCTGAGAGGGCTGGTGGGAGGTGCGGGGCTCTTGGCTACTCTCTTGTATACAGGAGAACTCCAGAAGGCTGAAACAAAAGGATGTTGTAAAGTTGAGAACAGATGGGCTTTTTAGTCTCGGGGTTGTCTGGTGCCAGAGAAACTCAGTTTCTAGATTAAAAATTAGCTCCCCACTGAACAGATTTCAAAATGTTAAATTATTGCAGTGCCGTTTTCAGAAAGCAAAATCAAAACACTCCCTCGTTTCCTTCCTCGCCCCCACACCCAAAAAAAACCCTATAAAGAATCTCTGCCCTCCCTCACCCTTTAAACCACAAACAAAGTCTGTAAAATGATTCAGTCTAAATAAAAGTGACTGGTTTGAACATTATACACAGCATTATAACAAATGCAAGCAATTCGCACAAAGGCTTTAATCAATAAACTCGATAAACCTTTCCATGTTATATGAGGGAAAGAATACATTTGGTTGTGTAGGAATAAGTAATGTTACCCACAGATCAAAGATAAATCACCATCCTCTCCCACATTAAGTGAAATCTGCAGAATTAAGTTGTACTCACCAAGCCCTAGAAAAGCAATTGCTTCCAGCTCTGTTTCAGTCTTGGCAGCTGCAATCCCGTGAGGCAATTTTAAAGGGAACGGCAGCACATCCCTTTTTAAGAGAAACAAGGATGGAAAATGACAACGAACACTATATTAATTCACATATGCAAATAATCTTCAAATACTATATACTACAGTATTTTCTCTTAAGTAAGCAGTCTTTTATTTGACTAAGACAGCCACATTAACAAAGTAACTTTGACCACACCATAAATTCTTTTTAATAATGCTTAACATATGCCGGCAAGATTTTCTTTAAAAAATACTTTTTTTTCTACACCCAATAATCTTCTATCACAATTTTCAGGCACGTATTTACTTTGGTGAAATGTACTACCTTTAGTTGGTTCTATTTTTAAGGATTCAGAATGACGATCTTGGGAGGATAAATTAACCACTGTTGAAATTGGGCCACAGACGCTTTTAAAAAAGTTAATCATGAATCTTCTTGACTTTCACTGTTTACAGGTTACACAACTAGAGTTGCGTTTAGTTAAAGAGAAATGTTTTTATGTTTTTATGTATGTGGGAGGGGAGAAGAAGGAGCAAATCAGGAGTAGGAACCTGGGTGAATTCCCCTCCTTAAACCTGCTAAGCACAATTTTAATTTCCTAAATAATGTCTGATTGAGATTAGCTAACTCAGCGTGGCCAAGGGCCAAACCTGCAAATAGGTAGGGCAACTGAGCTATTAGTTTAACATGTAAATAGGTGGAAGGAGGCCTTTTATCCTGCCTGGGAGGAGAAAAGGAATGTTGTTCCCTTGTAAGTAGGTTACTGAAACATGACTGATCTCAGAGGTGAAAACTGCCACTCAGTTGATATATGTAGTATGTCCACCCGCAAGGCCCTGGTGACCTGTCTGATCTCTAAACTCCAATGTAGTTTATAACCAGTACAAATAGGCTGGCAACAAGTAAGTGAATCAAACAATTGTTCCTTTACAAGTAGAAGAAACTTCTAAAAAAAACTTAAAAGAAAGTTAAGTTTGAGATTTTTTTGTTGGCTGGCTGGGAACGGAAGCATATTTTATATCAAAGGGATTTCCCCTTCTTCTCATTATAATGGTAGTCTTTAATATAAATGGGTTTGCCTTCACCGAGAGCTGGCTTTAATGTAGTAACAGCTTGGTGTCTGCTAGACTGTGCTTTCATTGTGGTAGTTTGTCTCCTGTAATGAAGCTTCCAAATTTGATAGCACCAAATTTGTCCTTTTTGGTATCAGATATCCCGTTGCCTATGCAGTGAATTGCCTCCAGTGTTGGAACCAGAAAGCAACAAAACATCACAGAGACATTTGGCAATGTGTAACATCATCAGGTATGTCCCACTTTGGAAACAATTTATTTATCATGATGGCTGGCACCTAAATCATGAGTAAACATGTTTCCTAATTCATTCAAATGAGTAGCATACAGTGTAAAACAGTATTATTGGTAGTGTGTAATTAGTCATATAAGCATTCAGTTAGGTTAGTTTTGATTTGTAAACTGGTACTGAAATTATCACCTACAGAATGCACAGTCTCTACAGTTCACAGTAAATTCTGTGAAGTGATTCAAGTCTGCCTACTGACACGAAAGGTGCTTTACTAAATGCAAAGATTTTCATTAATCAATTTGTTAGTGAAAGGTATTGGCTCTTTAAATCCAGGAATGGACAAGTCAGCAGGAACCAGCTGGGTAGCAAAGTTGCCCAACATTCAAGCATATCTCTTCGTCTCTACTCTCATTGTTTTGATATCAGCTGTTAAGGGGGTGGGGGGGGGAGAACTTCCAAAGTTGTGAAGCACAGGAGATAATTATGCCATTTACACGATGACATCATTCATTTGCACCTGCACAGAATGAACAAATCTACTGCCTAGGGATTCCAAATGAAAACAAACTGCAGCTGCAATATAGAGCGAAGCGACTTTGTGTCAAAGTCACTGCTTTATGTTACTCTCTGCTGCTGTATAAAAGCAGTCAAAGAGACCACCTGCAACAACAGTAACTTCTGAGTAGTGGAGACTGAGGCTGCAGTCACCAAGTTGTGGGGTGGGGGAGCTTATGGCAGAAATCCCTGACCTACTTACACACAACTGCCCACATCAAATGCTTGCTGGAAAAACATTGCTATTTTTCTACGAATACCTTCCCTCACCCTTTGCATCGTAGACTTTACTGGAAGTGTTTTTATTTTTGCAAGACCGACTCTCAAAACCCTCCACATGAATTGTACTGAACTGTCAGGTAGTAAATATTTTGATAACAACAACAACTTGCATTCATATAGCGCCCTTCATGTGGGGTAGCTTAACAGTGGAGCCTGATGCCGAGCTGGGGAGACGGGGTTGGTCACTGTGGGCATGATCAAAGAGGAAGGTCTTCAAAAGTGATCTGAAAGTGAGCAAGGAGGCGGCAAGGTAGAGGGATTAAGGCAGAGTGCTCCAGTTTCAGGACGTGGCGGCTGAAACCATGGGTGCTGATGATGGGGCAGAGGGGCAGAGGAACGTACAGGAGGCTGGAGCCGGCTGAATGGAGGGGTCGGGTAGAGAAGTGGGGCGTAAGCAGGTCGGAGAGTGCCTGAAGTAATTTGCACACTAGTGTGAGGATCTTGAAATCGATCATTTCTGCAATTAGGGAGCTAATGGAGCCTGACAAGTGCTGGGGTAACGGGAGTACGGTGCTTGGTGCAGGTGAGAATACGGGCGGAAAATTTTGAATTAGTTAGATGGTGGCACTGGGGAGACCGGTGAGGAGAGCACTGGAATAATTGAGGCGGGGGGGGGGGGTCACGAATGCATGGAAAAGGATTTTGATTTCCTGCACACACTTAACAGGACCAGAAATGATTACTTTTGTAAGTCCTTTGCAGTTTATGGTTTTAAACTCAGCCTAGAATTACATTGGGTAGACACACATGGAAACAATATTGGGAAGCACAGGAGATTTTGTTAAATCTGGGCAAAAAAGCTGACTCATCTTTTATGAAAACAACTGAAATATCACAACTGTTAGTGTGGGTTTGTGTGTTTGTGTTTAGGTGCATGTATATATATATTTGCATGCATGTGTATGTTGGAATGTAAGAAGTGAGGAGCTGTATTTTAGCAAGCAAGTCTGAACAAGGGCAAGTCTTGTGCCCAGAAGGGGTTCAAGGTTCATCTTTACTGCTCTTCTTACCTGCTGATACAGTAGAAAGCAATGAGTCTGAACAAGTCTGCAAAGCTCAGGCCAGATCCATCCAGTGAAAAAGCTACATAGCAACAGAGACAAAAATAAATAAGGAACAGTCAATGTGGATAGACACATGGAAATACTATTAGAAAGCACAGGAGATTTGTTAAAGCTGAGCAAAAAAATTGACTTGTCTTTTGTGAAAAAAAATCAAAGTATCAGAACAGTCTTAAGTTTAAACAAAATTTGAAGTGCTCGTTTGAGACCCATATATGAGACATAAGTGCTTTTTTTTTCTGGAGTAAAAAATAGCTGCTCTCAGCACACCGTGGAGCCAAAACCAACAGAGCATACTGTAAGTTAACAGCAAATTCTTTAGGTCTGCTGTTCTGGAAAGAGACAGAAATTCGACTATGGATTTTTAAAGCCTGTGCATAACATGTTATTCTACCAGTGTCTCTGGACAACTTACAGCAACTAAGATGCATTTTCCAGCATCCATTTGTTTAATTACTGCTGTGTAAGTGTTGGAATCACCCAGCTGAGAAAAATATGAGCCAGTTACACAAACAGATGGTTTAATGTAGCTCTTTCATTTCACATGTCAGTCAGTGCTTATCTGGGGGATGGGGGGAAGTTACATTAAAGCACATTTCCTATGAGCCACAGTAGAACAAAAATAGTGACAGAATAAAACAGCAATTGGCATGTCGTCATTTGAGAGATTAAGACTGTGAGCACAAATCATCACACAGTGATAAAGTACTATCTTAGTGTGGAATCCTGTAGCTTAGTGGTTAGTGCACTCGCCTCATAAGCGAGAGACCTCGGTTCAGTTCCCGGCAAGGCGAAACCTTGGGCAAGTTTCCTTACTCCACCCGCCTGATAATAATCAGAAAAAAACACAATAATAATTTGGTCACTCAATCCACGACTGTTTGTGGGACACTGTTGTGTGCAATTGACTGCCACATTTATTTCGCCCACAAATATACAGTCAATTCACTTTACAGTATATTCTGTGAAGCGCTTTGAGACGACTAGAAGACGTGAAAAGCGCTATATCAAATGCAAGTATTATTATATTATTACTATAATTAACTACAGCAAACTGCACACATATAAGGCGATATATTTATCTCCCCAGCACTTCTAAACTAAGTAAAAGGGTCATGATCAATTTAGAAAACCAAACTAGGAAACCTCAGTTCAAGGTTACGGATTATGATAAACATTTATATTTAGACAAGAATGAATACCTGTCTTCGCTTCCACCTGTATGTTGTGACACAAGATAACCCTATAAGTAAAAGCCAAGTCATGCTCAATGTTAGACTTGATTGTGGACTAAAAGCTTCTTGATGGCAAATGATTGTTACTTTATCAAATAAGGAGGATGAGTCCACTCAGGCAGGCAGTGTATACATGCAGATGTGGGTGTGCAACATTGAAACACCAGCAATGTTTTGAGCTATTATGTCCACTTAACTTGAAAATAGCCTGCCTTTGTTGCACTCTTTTAAAGATATCAGAAATGAGAGTAAAAGGCAGCCACACTTACTGTACTGGCTTTCCTTTATCTGAAAATCTTGAACAAAATTAGATCCAGACTCAGGTAATCTCATCGATATGACTTTCTTCTGTGTCCTGCTCGATTTCCGCACCAGAAAAATCTGTTGTCAATGAAAAGGAATCAGGATCTTAAAAGCACACCTGAATAGTTATTAGATGAAAGCCTTCATTCCCTCATGCCACGTATCAAAATATAGTTATACTATTTCTCACCGTTAATAATCAGCAGAATGATTATATATAATATAGTGGCCACACATTGGGTATCAATGACCCAGATCTTTGCTGGGTGCAAGGCTGGCCTTTTCCCCAGTGTGGCAGAGGTTGTTATAATGTCTGGGCTTGTTTTGTGAAAAAAATTAAAGAATTGAAAGCACAAATTAAGATATTCATGTGGTTCTCTTTCCAAGCCTCTTAAACCTCACCTGGACGGTCAATGTACTTCACAAGATTGCTTCAGCCAATTTGGTCTCATCCTTTCAGAATACCCACATTACATCACAACTTCAAGCAATTTTCTTTTTTAAAATAAGTCCGGTGACCTGGCCTCAATCATCATCACTAGTAATTGTTCCATCTGTTGAATACACTCTCCTATTGTTATCTTCATAGCTTCTTAGATGTTTTTCCCTCTTGCTCCCCTCCCCAAGTTATTATAATAACAGGTTGTTGTCTACGGAGACATGAAATGCTTGAATCTCACTCAAGACTATTGTAAACATTTGCTTCAGTGCCCTATGGTGGTACATCAATGGGAGGAAAAGTCTTGCTTTAGCTGCAGTGCATTGATGTCGAGAAGCATTTTTTTTCTGCAGGAATGCCTTGAAATTCCATCTGCTTCTATTTACTCAGCAATTTACTAAATTTGCCTCTGCACAGAACCTCCCCATGAATGCTAGTCATGTGTCAAGCAATGACATGGCTGATTAGTTGTAAAATGTTTCGGGACAAAAGCCATGGCTCATTATTTTACGTCAGTTATTCATTTCAATATAATGTAATCTTGAAAAGCGTAAAATCAATTGAGCTAAGAACAAACTGCAGCATTCAGATTAAACTAAACTTTCTTTTAAAAGTTCAAGTAGACTAGTGTCTGGGAGCACTCCTACTCCCTGTCCCCTCCCGCTAACTCACCCCATTCAAGAATTTGCCCTACATGTGGAGTGCCATCTTGGGAGTGCTTTGCAGCCATCAGCCCTGAAAGTGATTCATGACACGCTGAATCATTGTTAAACTGATGGCGACTGTTTTCTTGGATTAAAGACTAAATCATGGTTTTCATTTCGCCCACAAAATACACTGTCACTACACTTTACAATATATTCTATGAAGCGCTTTGAGACTTCTCAAAGATGTGATAAGGTGCTATATCAAATGCACGGAATGTATTATTGTTATTAACCTTTTAAGGAACTATGGCATCCAGCGAGTGCTCTCTTTGTGCGTAATCCTGCATATCACACAAAGTGGTGGGATTTTGGCTCGCACTCGAGCTCTCACCATAAGCTACAGTCTTTACGTGGTGTACAGAGGATTCCACAGAGAAAACGCTGTTTATGTCACAAGCCCTTTCCCTGTGGCCACGCAGTGGCTACTCAGCTTTAGATGACGGTTTGTTATAAATGACTGGCGCAGGACATAATCGCAATAGATGTATGATCAGTGCTCTCTTCTTCTAGATTTCTTCTTAGGTGCCGTTTAAAATTACCACAATATATTTTTTATGGATTTTGATCACTGCCCACAAAAAGATCTTCACCCTTAACAGGATGATGGGCTTTAACTTAGCTAATTTAAGAAAGACAAGATTTTCTATTTTTACACAGATTCTTTTTCTTCTCTTTTTGGTGCCAACTTCCCTGATGTAGAACCCAAGGTTACAAAGGTATTCTAGAGTGTCAATTCAATATGCTTACATATGTGTGTATTTGTTGAGGTAGGGAAAGAGGTGCAGGGCAAATCCTTGCCATCTTTTTCCCCTCAAGATTAAATAGGTTTGGAAGAGGCTGTGATAGGGTTGAGGAGGAAGAAGAGTGGTAGATGTGATCTTGCTAGACCAACTTTTTAAAAAAATATATGCTTTATCACCAGATTCTGTAACTCAGAGTCTGTACCCAGTCATTCTACCCGAGTCGGATTTCTGAGTCACTGGATGATGAGAAAATGCTTAAGTTCCTGTGAATTTCCTCATCCTCACCAGAATCTGTTCAATCACTAACTAGACGCATTTATACAGAGGTTTTGAGATGAGTCAATTGTCTGTTTTCTGGATAAGAGCTACATTTTTTTTAAAAAAAGCTATCTCCCGCACCACCACCCCCATTACAAAGGTATGTACAGCACAGAAACAGGTCACTCAGCCAACCAATCCGTCCGTGCCAGTGTTTATACTCCACACAAGTCTCCACCTGCTCCTTATGCCCTCCCACACTTGTCTAGTCTCCTCTCTCTCATACAAAGATCTAGCTTCCACTTGAATGGGCAAAACCTTGGGCAAGTTTCCTTACTCCACGCGCCTAATAATAATCCTTCTAAAACAAAACAATAATAAATTGGTCATTTTCAATCCACGACTGTTTGTGGGACACTATTGTGCGCAATTGGCTACCACGTTTCGCCCACAAATATACAGTCAATTCACTTTACAGTCTATTCTGTGAAGCGCTTTGAGACGTCTAGAAGACATGAAAAGCGCTATATCAAATGCAAGGATTATTATTATTATTATTATTATTTACACTATCTGATTCAATCACTGCTTCAGGCAGTGAGTTCCACAATCTCACAACCCTCTGTGTGAAGTTCCTCCTAAATTCTCTTTCAGATCCCCTGGTCGCTATCATATATTTGTGTCTCCTGGTTACAGACCAGTGGAAATAGCCTATTTATGTTAATCTCATCAAATCCTTTTATAATTTTAGACACTTATATTAGGTCCCTCCTTAAACATCTCTTCTCTAAAAAATGCCAAACCTATCCAATCTATCCTGATAGTTGTAACCTGCCATCTCTGATATCATCCTTGTAAACCTATTCTGTACTCTTCCATTGCTGCTATATCCTTCTTATGGTGTGGAGACCAGAATTGGACATAATATGGTGAAATTGTGTTATCTGAATACTCAATTTGACAGCTAAAATTATTCAACAGACTGAACTATTCATATAACTGGACTAAACACATTAAGAGACTCATCTCCCATAGCTCAAGTTCTATTTAATGAGCAGAACTATTCAATTATCTGATATTCTATTAACTGAATTTCACTGTACTCCAAATGTGATTTAAACAAGATTTTATATAATTCCACCATCACCTCCTCACTTTTATATTCCATTCCTCTGTATATAAAGCCCAAGACCTCATTGGCCTTTTATTTTTGTGGATCTGAATCCCCAGATCTCTTTGTTATTGCACGACTAAATTAACTGAACAGTTACAAAACGATAACTACTGCAAAAACGTACAACAAAAATCCATTTGTACTCCACCATGGTTTCACATTTCATGCATTTTCTAGAGTATTATGAAAAAAAACTGCTCCTCTGGTCTGAAAATATTGGTGCTCATAAACCACTGTGGAGCTCTGCAATATACGAGGTGCTGCTTCATTGTTGAAGAGAGTTGAAGGATAAGAGTTTACACAAGCCTTCTCCTCAAGTGTACATGTTTGACCTGGTTTTATTGAAAAGAACAACAATCGGGTTTTGTGGTGCTGTTTGGTGCATTTCCAAGGACAATGTACGTTATGACTTTTGTCCAGTCTCAGCTTCCCATCACCCATTCACTCACTTAAAACAAAGTGAGGTGCTGTAACCCTGGATTAAGTGAACAGGTTGGGTTTGAGCACTTCACCTTGAATAAACACTGCTAACTGTGAGGTAAGCCCTCCGCCCCTCCAATGCCAAGATGTAATTTTTTTTTAACAGAAACCTTTTTTTCTGTTAAAAATCCAAAGGGGTGCATTTTTCACAAACGAAAGAACAATGACAATAGCGCCTTAGATGCTATTCCCTAAAACTAAACATGTTGATTCACAAAACCCTCAAGGATCATCAACAACAACAAAATTACATTCGTAAAGCACCTTTCACTTCGGGAAGACGTCCCAAGGTGCTGGACAGATAGAGTTTCGGACTTGTGCTGGGGTTTGGGGTCGAGGAGTATGGAGGGCAGTGGGGGAAGCAGGGAGAATGAAAGCACAATTGAAGAGGAGTGTCTTGAGATGGGCCTTGAAGGAGGCAAAGAAGGGGTGAAGTGGAGGTTCTGTGGGATGAAGTTCCAAAGGGTGGGGGCAGAGTAGCAGAAGGCTCGCTCGACAATAGTGGGGCAAGCGAGGCAGGGACGTGAAGCAGACCGGAGCCCGCTGAGCAGTGTGACACAGTGGCGGAGCCGGGTGATGTTGCGGAGATGGGGGAAGGCAGAGCTGGTCATGGTGCAGATGTGGGGTAGAAAGGATAGTTGAGTATCAAACAAGACCCCAAGATTCCGGACTGGTTTAGCAAGGGCGAGTGTGCAACCATGGATGGTGATGCTGTCAGTGCCTGAGGTGAGGAGACACTGATGGGAGCCAATCAGGAGAGCCTCAGTCTTGTTGATGTTCAACTAAAGAAAGTTAGCTCTCACCCAGGACTTGATGTCTGACAGTGGAGGCAGAGATGTAGAGTTGGGTGTCATCGGCATACATATGGAAGTTGACCCCATGTCTGCGGATGATGTCACCAAGGGAGAGCATATAGATATTGAAGAGGAGGGGACCAAGGACAGAGCCCTGAGGAACCCCGCATGAGATGGTGGGGAGCTAGAGGAGAAGCCATTGGTGGAGATGAAGTGGAGGCGGTGTGAGAGATAGGAACTGAACCAGAGCCGTGAAGGTTGAGGTGAGAGGAGAGGCGGTGAGTGAGGATAGAGCGGTCGACGGTGTTGAAGGCAGCAGAGAGGTCAAGGAGGACGAGGAGGCAGAGGGATCCCTGGTCACAGAGGGACAGAATGATACTTGTCATCCTGATGAACTTACCCCAGGGGGCTCCAGCTGAAGAATGCGCAGAGCATCCTCATCACTTAAGCTGAGCTGAAGCCAGACCGGGTGAGTGTGCAGCAGCCGATCGAAAATGCTGAGGTTACACAAGAAGTTTTCAAAGCCGGAATCCCTCATCCAGTGTTTCTCGACTTGTTCGTCCTGACATCCATAGCCCATATTGTCTTGTGTACTGTTCAATGAGTTGCATCTAAAGGGAGAAACATACAGGCAACTCAACTACACACTAAAGTGAGGTAGGTTTCACATCTGGTCAGTAGAGCAAAACAGTATATAAATTAATGTCTAAGATAAATATCTACCAACAATTTGAGTCAGAACCGCCGACTGACTTTTCAAAGAGTTCAGATGCTGCAAATTAACATAAAAGTAGATCATTTGATTGAAAAAGTTGATTGGGATCCTCCCCTTATGGCCTGTTAGGTTAAAGCAACATTAATTGTGGGATAGAGTTTGTAGGTTCAGTCTTGGCCTGTGCTGAGTTGGCTGATTTCACCCAGGGCAATACAATTATCCTTAGCTATTCTTGGTTAGGGAAAAGAAAAGCAAAATCAACCAGGGTTCCTACTTCTTAACAAAAGACTCCACCGTAAGCATGAAAACTCAAACTACAAAAGAAATGTTTTGATATCCAAACAATTTAGAATTAGTAATATAGGGAATCAGGAAGATTAGCCAGTCAGCCCATTGAACCCACTCAATCAATTTATTAGATCTTGGTAGATGTTTTAATCCCTGAAGGAGATGTCGTCCTTCAGATGAGACAATAAAACAAACTTCTACCTGTCTGTTCAGGTGGCATTGTTTGAAAAGAGAAGCAAAGTTTCTCCTGGTGCTCTGGCCAGAATTCCCCTCAGATAAAATTGATCATTAATTTTGTGGCTGTTGTGAGACGCTGTGTGCAAATTAGTTGCCATGTTTGTCTATAAATTACAAAATCAATGATGGGGCGATGGGATAAATTGTACACTTTAAGCCACTGTGTGAAGAGATGTAAGACTCGTGTTGCGTTAATGAACACATTGTTGGAAAAAATCCAACCAGTTAATATCTCAATTCACAGACTTGACATACCCTTCCCTGACTGTCAGCCAGGCCGTGACACATGATTAAACTTGTGGGACTCACATCAATGCACCACAAGATATGAGAGATCTAACAGTGGCTCACTAACTGGCAGTCCAACGAGTGGCTGAAATAGGAGAGGGGGAGGAGATGTGCCTATGGATTAGTCATTAATTTCATAAATTGCTTCTCCCCAGTCCCCCAACATGACACAGGTAGCACATCTGTGGACGGTTAAGAGTATGAAAAACTACTTACCGCTGAAAATGGAGAGATCCAGCATCTCCATTTGCACGAAGATCTGTCTGAACCATCTTTAGCTCTCCGATCTCTGAGGCGAATGTATCAATCAGCTGTGCGGTGAGAGAAGATTCAGCAGAGTTAGACAGTAGAGGTGGTGGTTTAGGGTCAGATCTTTCCGTTAATCACTCTACTAGAATACTGACGTCATTGAGAACTTGAAATATTCAGGTCAGGAGATCCCCCAGTTTTGCAATACACAAACTTACTTGGGTTTCAGATGTGTAGCTATTGTGAAAGGTATATAACCTACAAGTGAAATGTGCAATACAATAACAAAATGACATTTGTATAGTGCCTTACACATCAGGAGGATGTCCCAAGGTGTCAGGGATTTGGACCTGAGCAAGGAGGTTGGGATCAGGGAGGGTGGAAGGCAGGGAGTGAATGAGGGTGGCCGAAGGTGCAGTCGATGAGGAAGGTCTTGAGATGTGCCTTGAAGGAGGCAAGGGAGGGAGCAAGGCGAAGGGAATGTGGGATGGAGTTCCAAAGGGTGGGGGCAGAATACACCAACATCAAATTAGAAAATAATTGATACAGTAACCTGGTAACTTCATTATAATATGGGTTTATTTATAACACAATTGAGTATGGACTCTGCACTTACTCACAAACAAATCCCAATTGCACACAGAAAGCTACTCCGGCTCACTTCACATTGCAATGTCCTCCTTCTAAATGTGTCATTCTGCTTCTCACCTTATGGCATTTCAAAACGTGCCATGACATGTTGTTTTTGAAGCACAACAACTTGTGAGGCAAGATGACGCATTCTAGAGCGTGGTCCACGCCGATGGAGGAGGCTGCCTTTCTGCTCAGTGTCATCACTGAATAAGTAATTGATGCCAACACAACTTGGAAGTGCTAAGTGACAATCCCGGTTCTCCCACCTTTATAAAGCACGTTTCGATTTTATGGACCCTAACGTTTGAATTATAAAGGGAGGTTCCATTGTACATCCACCCTTTCACATAATGCAGAACTCTTGACAACTAAGTTTAGTCCCGCACTGAGTGGAATGAGCAGCTTCATCTCACTGTTACGTAAAAGCTTCACTTGTAGTGCACCAAGCATTACATTACTTTCACAATTACATCCCATTATTTTCATGTAGTGTGAAAGTAATAGGATTTCTTTTTGCAGGATTAGTAAAAGAATTTGCAAATTTACAAATTCTGAAGGTACTTGAAGACGATCTTGTGATCTTAGTTCCAATTTCTATGAAGCAAATCCTTCTGCGCATTTTGTAATTAGACTCAAATCTAAAATAGCACTGTTTTACATTTTGACAAAAGTCTCACTAAAAGCAAGTTTCTTAAAATTATATTGAAAACCTAGGAAAACAATACACACTCAAAACACTCATTCCTGAGACTATTTTTTTAAGAATTCTGGCAAGGAAATGTGAGAAATTACTTGTTTACTGCACTCCTATTATTCCATTCTACATTACAGAAAAATTACACAGTACACCCTGCCTGGGGCAGATATAAGCTATGCACACAGCAGTTAAAGCCTTTCGTTAATTGGGTGATGAGGTAGTATTTTCCTCAATGTGAGTGATACTCAGCTGACTGTACTTCTCATCAATAAATTTGCTACTATCTTCCTTGTCCCCGGAGATAAATGTCTACTTAGTTTGGTTGCATTGGTAGAGCAGGGAGGAACTGGCAGTATAACAAAAACAGTTTTGTATGTGTTTATGTTATACACATTATCTTTTTAAAATATTGATGTCTCGTTAAGGAAAATAATTACTCTAGTGTTATCTGTAATACACGATCATGAGAAGGTTTTGAATGAAGAAGGACCTTTGGCCCATTTCGCCCATCCTGAATAGCTTGATGCAATCAGACTAGAATCTTGCTGGAATCACAGATTTACCAACATGATCAGTTAGGTCAGGTCCTTCCTTCACCACCAGTGCTTTTACACATGACCCTTCCCAACATGAAGTCCATAGCATTCTAATTTGAATGATAATAATTGAACAAAGGAGTGGTTTAAAGTACAATCACTTTCTGACTGATTCGGATTTAATATTCCATTTAGGTAAAATCATAAAGGTTTTTGATCCATTCCGCAATGGACATGTATATTTATTGTGTAGGTTAGCAAGAGCTGCCCTTTACTTATGTGATGCAGCTTTCGATACCAGCAGTTTGCTAGCCCACTTAAATAACAGCAGCAACAAAAAAAACAAATCAGATGTTTTAACTTTAAGCCTCCCACATGTTTCCTAAAACACAAAGCTCTTGATACCACAATCTGCATTCCAGAGTTTGTTTTGAGGCTTTAGGTAATGAAAACAAGTTCTTGTGCAATTTAAGTACTCCATATATTCCTTGTTTATGCTGTGAAAAAANGAACATGGTCATCAACTGCAGTCTGCAATACCACTGGCTTCTACTAGGAGACACTCACAGCAGATTCATATTGACCAATTCACTGCCAATTTCCTCGAAAAAATATTCTTGCTTGGTCGTGAAACAGAAATATCCCAGTTCTAAATTACAATACTGAATTAAGGTTTCTGTAATGATCATAACCTATTGACAATTAATTAATAGTAATAATCCTTGCATTTGATACAGTGCCTTATCACGTCTTCGAGATATCTCAAAGCACGTCACAGAATACACTGTAAAATGTGTATTTTGTGCTGGAAGTGTGGCAGCCAATTGCTCACGGTTATAATTCAAAATAAGACTTTTTTTAAAAAAAGTAAAAATGTAATATGTGCAAGTATGTTTTAATTTTCTTCCCATTGTCTTATGCCTCTCTGCTCCTGGTCCCCAGTATCCTCATACAAGGATGCAGTTTTATAGGTACTGGGTGTCCTGCCCAAGTGGCTATTGTTTATGTGTGAGCCCTGGCAGTGTGAGTAGGTCACTTGACAATAGATATGTCTTCAGTCGACTGAGCTATTGCTCCTTACCCGGCTGCCACATTTGCACACTACCAGCATATGGTGCTGAAGAGGGATCAGGACCAGGAAATCTGACTGATTTTCCTCTCTCGTATCCCATGGGACCGCAGCCAATACCAGCAAACTCAACACAGACCGGGATTGGAACCAGCGAGCTCCTGGACTGTAAGCTGTGGCTCTATTCACTGCATTAACAACAAACAACATTTATATAGAGCCTTTTGCTTCACTATCACGACTGCCTCGCATTAGGACTGCTGATTGGTCTTCATCCTCTGCATGTGTCTACCTTTTTATTTACATCATTTTCAATACAGCAGATTAACAATTAAAGGTTTGAGATGTCTTCCCAATGTGAAAGGCGCCGTATAAATGTTAATTGTTCTTGTTTTCATTATTACCTGATCGTACCTGAAAGCAAATTTATAATTTACTAACTTGTAAAGTATAGCAAGTAAAACAATAGGAAAACAATCCTTAGTAATATTTATTGTATTTAGGTATTAATATTTGTGACTGTAAAACTTAGTTTATAAGTTTGTCTCAGTCAGGGTAGTAACAATATTAAGATTGGCTACTTGCTGTCTGCTTTCCAAATCTCAAAATTGACTTTCTTATCTTCTGACAGTACCCTCCCTGAAGGTTGTCCTGTGGGAGGAAGGAAAAGCAGCCAGGGAGGATCCATTTCCTTATCACTCAACTAAGCTTCCACATGTATCAATCCATAGGATAGCACTGAGATTGCCTGAAGGCCGGACCCCTCTGCCAAGGAGGATAATGTGGCTGATAGTACAAGTTGGAGGCAAGGACAAAGTATAAACATATTTCTTTTGACAAAGCACAACAAGATCACAATACCTTAAAAAAGCTCCCTTTCCTGTTTGAATGACAGAGCTCGACGAGCCTGGACATTCTTGCCGTTTACTTGAGATGTTTTCACAGTTTGGCAGAGACCTACAACAAAAGACATTTAGTGGTTGTTCCATGTTGGAGGAAATTCTACTGCTCCCTACTAACTCAGTCACAACAAACGTTCTGCCAAAACTTTGCTAGCACCAGTCTTTCCCTGAACCAAAGAGATGTATGAATCACAGAACACACAATCCTACTTCATGTCCAACTGGGACAAATCATGTGGCAACAGCAGAGCTTCCAAGTTTTTTTAACCACTTCAACTTTTACAAATAAGATGCAGTTGCAGTTTACCAAGTAGAAAGGATGGGAAATAGTACTCTACATTAACATAGTTTCTATACTTCTATAAATTATTTGAAGGCAATTTGAGGTCAACAGCCTCTTGTGTTTACTTCACAACTGGAGCAATGACCAATTTGTATAGAACATGAAATAAAAGTCTGTTTACAACACAATCCGTTTAAACCAAGATTCATTTAGTCTTAGGGCACAGGCCTATTGTGGATTCTCCAGCACTGACAAGCTGGCTTCCTGCACTAAAAATGGCTGGGGATAACCTGACTACCCCCAGAAGTTGAACATTTTATTCTGTTTCATTATAACACGGACTTGAAATATTGGACGCAGATGACTGCAAAATAATTTGTTCTTATATGTGAAGCCACAAAGTGTTCTCACATGTGACACTTACTGTTTACAAAACTAATATGTACCATTTGCAAGCTGAACATTGCAAATCTGTTATGATTCTAGCTTTCGTTTAATAAAAGCCAAATTAATATAATATTTGCAATCCTGAAATAAAGAAAATAAGAATTCTTCAAGGTAACCAATGAACAATTTTTCTACAATGGAGAATCTTTTTCCATTGAAATAAAAATATTATTCCGAAGGATTTTCAACCCTTTGGTAGAACCTACTTCAATCAAGGCAACCGGGTTATAAAGTGGCATTTCAGATACACAGGATTGGACATAGTGTTAAATGGAAAAAGAATGGAAGCTGGTCTTAATTCTGGGTCACCAGGTCACCACCACATCACTTGAATACGCGATCACAGGAAGCTGCCTGATTAGTTATCATAGAATCATAGAACTATACACCACAGAAGGAGGCCATTCGGCCCATCGTATCCGCCAGCTCTTTGAAAAGTCAAATCAATCCGACTCCCCCGTTCTCTCCCCACTGCCCTGGAAACTTGTCCTCCCCAAATAATTATCTACTTCTCTCTTAAAAGTTGTTATCGAATCGGCTTCCACTGTGACCACTCTCACAATCTGAGGCACTAAAAATTGCTCACAAGCGGTTGTGACGGACTGGCTGGCTTCCAGCGCATTGCGTGTCTGCGCTTCCAGGAACTGAGGGTCTGCAGGAGATTCACGCCATTAGTGAATTCAAACTCTACTGAAACCCCTGATATTGTTGATGAGGTTTTATTTCTCTTCAACTATAATATACACACAACACACCATCTCAAACTATAATATACACACAATTCACCATCTCAACACGCTGAATATAACAAACACTAATTATTTTCCTCCAACTTTTATTATTATTATTATTATTATTAACTTCAAACCATCTTAATCATTTTATGGAGTCGAGAAGAGTTCACTTTTATTTAGGAATTAAAGAAAGTTGCATTTTAATGAAGTAATGGACATAAAAAAGCACAAGACCAGTTACAACTCAGTGATGCTTGTTTAAACAGTTATAGATGTAACTTTCACACAGAGATGGCATATGTAACTTTCACACAGAGATGGCACAAGTTGACTTGTGGGAAGTGGTAAATGTCACATACTGTTGCAGTAGGGGACCCTCTTCCAAGTTTCGGGCTGGTGCACATTGTTCGGGCAGAGCGAAGGGAGCTTTGCTCTGAATTTAACTGAGCTGTCCCTAATCTGAAAGCGCTCGATCCAAAAATTGGATGCCTGAAATGGGAAAGTGTTTAATTTCCTAGCACTAGCCAGATTTCACCTGAGGAGTGCAAAGGAATGCCAGAAATGGCAAGAGAACATTTAAAGGTGATTTTTGTCAGTCTCCATGGCGTGCAGATTTGTTGCCAAAACTTCCTTGTCCGAAAATGTTGCTGGTCAGCCACAGTGTTTGTAGCTGGGGGAAAGGCTGCATAACAGGAAATGCTGTATTTGTTCAAGGTAGTCCTTTGGGGTATTTTCTTAGTTCACTTTGATGCCATCTTGCCGTTGTCATCTTTATTTATCAATCTGATAATCAGTCTACAGTACGCTTTCCAAGCTCATAATGCCATCTAAGCAAAGACTGGTCAGCACTGAATCGGACCCAAGTAGTAAAGATAAACACGTCCTGACTCATTTGTCGAAATTGCTTACTCCAAAGCTTCCTGGCACCTATCTTTATTTACACCACCAGACTGCTTTTAGTTTGCAAAGTTTTCCACTATCTTGGGGTCAGACATCGAGACAAGCAAACCACATCTTGGCATCAGAACATGCATACACCAATGGCAACATCCTTAATACCATTTGAAAGGTCGGGCTAGGAATAGTTTATATGCAACAGTCGTACAATCTATCGATGATAAACAATCCAGTGCCTTTTAAATAATAGATTTTTAACAACTTATACAATTGTCCTTTTTGCTGGAGGAAAAACAAGCCTGGCTACAGCAAATTTTAAATGCAAAAGCAGGTTTGTAAGATTTGGATGATTTCACCACAATGACATCATTTAAAGCATATGTAGCACAAACCAAATATCTGAGGGAGGCAACAAGTCGCTGTGTTTGAGAAACTAACCACGCAAAGAGCAGTCAGTAAAACTGACGCAATTCCGAATACCAGGAGTGACACAAACAATTACATTAGCAGGGGATTAGTTTTATCGACCTTACTTCATAAAAACATCCTGCAAATACATAAACAGTGTACAAAAGCTTGGAGTAGCCTTTTCTGACTTTATTCGCAATCACAAGCAATGTACAGTGAATCTTAGCTAACAATGTTACCTGATTGAATTGACAATATGTAAAGTGGTAAACTTGGATTCCTCTATTTACAGCAGTAACCGGATCAGCTCTGTCTTTGCACCTTTCAACATCCATTTAGAACCCTTTACAGAATTTATTTCCATGTAACTTTGACAATTGTTAAAAATTTGTTAATCTGGTAGTCGGTAACATTCTTGCCTTAGCGTGAAAAGGATGTCAGGTCTTTTAAACACACGGGCTTTGTTGATACTTTAATACGGTCCTAGGGGAGTGCTGCATTTTCAGACGTGCCATTCTTTGGATAAGATGTTAAACTGAGGTCCCATCTGATGACATGATAAGCACTATGGAATCCAGGGATTATTATTATTTTACTGGACAAAGTTACCCTTCAAATGCACTGAGGCTTTGATACATTTCTGCTGTTGTGCATTGCTTTTATGGTCCAAAACACAAAGCAAACAGAGAACCCTTTTTTGTATAATCAAACACACACTCAAAAGTTTTAATACAGCCTATACTGGAGCTAGTTAACTGCTAGTGCTTGCCACATCACCAGGAGTGTGGATTTCTTTTGCTAAACCCGGATGATCGATTCATTAAAATCAAAACAATAGTGGATACCAGCCACTTGAGGTGTGTTCGTACTTGTTCCAAACTAGGTCAGCCTCTGACGTCATCAATGATTCACCTTTATACTAAAAATTCCCACTCTGATATATTTAGATGCTGGAATTTACAACAACAAGATGTTTGCATAGAATGTTACAGCGCAGAAAACAGGTGATTAGGATCAACTTTGTGCCATCTCTTATTGCACTCCTTGCTGTTCTCCCTAGTTCTACCATCCATAAATTTACAACCTTCTGACTCAGAAGCTGGAGTGCTATTGAACCAGCTAACACCTAACCTAGGCTCAAGTGTAGAAAGATTTACTATTTGGGTAAGGAGAGCGAGTTAACAATACTCTTGGTACAGCACTGTAGCATTTCTTCTGGAGAGGAAAAAAAGCATATACAAATTTACATAATGAAGTAATAATATGTACACATCATAAATGTACTGTAAAGAATGAATTAACAAAGATTTGTGCGGTACCAACAGTATTGAAACAACGCATTACTCCAAACTCCACAATAGCAAATCTGCTGCAATATCTGAATGGCTGAGTAAGAGAATGACTCAGTTACCAAGAAATACCCAAAACCAAACATAAGTATTCGATCGGGTTTTGCGATGTGGTTTGAATCAACTTTTGACTTGCCAATGTTCTTCCCCAATCATTCTCCCATGTAGACGAAGCCTAGTTATTCACATTTTTATCCCAAACAATATCTGTACTACAAACTTAGGGCAGTTTCTTAAAACAAAATAAAACAGCCGCTAAACTAACTAGCGCAAGAACCATCATTTGCAACAAACATCGGAAAAAATCTACAAGTAATTTCCTGCAGGAACATTGGTCCATCGACTATTACGGGCTGTCTAATTCCAACATTTTATTACAGGGCAGCCAAAGGTTTTGGGTGTCAGGGAAAAGCCAAGATAAAAGGGTGGAATAGTAACCATTAAGCCATTTACAATTCAGATACTCATCGGCACATTGTTCAGTACTTGGACTAAAACTGGTCAAGCTTCAGGGAGAAGAACATGATCCCAAAATTCACAGATAATTAATCTCTTTCCAAGCACATGATGGTTGGACTTGCGATCTGTAGCCCCCGAGTAATGTTCAACATGAACAATCATCAACAGACAATGCATACTCATCGATGGGATACATTTAATAATAATCCTTCCATTTGATATTGCGCCTTAATACGTCGGTTAGATGTCTCAAATCACTTCACAGAATATATTGTAAAGTGGATTCATTGTATATTTTGTGGGAGAAATGCGGCAGCCAATTGCACACATCTCACATAGAAAGGAAAAGTGGGAAAATTAGCCCAGGGCTGGAGCTATGCGCTCACTGAGCGATACTGACAGTAGCCACAAATAAGTTGATGAAAGAGCTCAACACTAATGACCTAATGCAACCCCTCCTAAGTCAAACATGCTCCTCCTGATCAGCAAACGGTAAAGACAATAAAATGTAACCAATGAAGCCATGCCCAGAATTCTGATTGAGTATTCCGAGAAAAATAGCTGCTTTCTCATTCAACAGCTGTGTATCTCTGGTAATCTCCTTCATGTTTCTCAAAATTAAAGTTTACTGCTTTTTCTTGACAATTCTGGGCACCGAGGCTGAGAGGGGTGAAGAAGGAAAGACGGTCAAAAGCACGGTCAAACATGTCTGTTTGGTGATGTATCTTGAATGTGGGGAGGGAGGAAGCAAGTTGGAGGGATCTGGGAATGGAGTTCGAGAGCATGGGCACCAAGTAGCTGAAAGCCCATTTGCCACTTACAGCTCTTGCGTATTCGGACCCATTGGTCTTGCCAATCCTTGTCCATCAAACTTCGACTCTCCAACATATAGGTCAAGTTAATACCTGCAACTGGCAAAACCATCGCATTCGGCAAAGATAATTTACTTGCAGCAATCTAAGGGTAACTAGCTCTCGATCTGGGAGCCTGCAATTAGAAATGTAAAAAAAATGTAAGCCTAAGCTGCCTTTTTTAAAAAAATCATAAATTCTGGAGGGATTCAATTTCTTGCCAAGTACCACTATTAATCCAGCAATGAGGTCATTATTTGCTGTAAACTTTATGCACACCACAGGACAACACTCTAAGCTCATGCAGGAGTCTCTGCAGAACCTCCTGACCGGAAAGAGTCACCAATTAAGTTAATGAAGGATACATAACGCGACTTAGTTTTGAATTCATGGTATTTAAAAGCTTGTACCAACCATGGTCAGCTGAAGTGGTAGGGGGTGATAGGTTTAGTAGGGCTTTTATAAAAAAAATCTACTAAATAATTGAGAAAGGGGAAAAAAAAAATCTGTTTTTAAACTTTCTATTACGCTAACTCACAATGCAGCGTTACAGGATTCCTCAAACTGTAAAGGAATTGCAGCTTTCTGCACTTTGCCATTAGTTGGAGGCAACTATGGATGTTCAATGTAATAACAGTACAATTTACAATTACATGTCACATTGGGAGGACGTCTCAAATTGCTTCATATTGTTGCTGGGCACCCGAGCTGGGGTAGAAACTGTTGTTTCGCCATAGTGAGCAGTTGTACTAAACTGAAACATTATTTACATAAGTGTTTACTATCAAGTGATTGTTTGAGAAATGCTCCACAAACACGATGTGCTGTTTTATGGAATTTGTAAACTTTTTTTAATAAAAGGCACGTACATTATCACTCAACTCTTCCTGACCTTAAGCTGGAGAAGAAATTCATTTAATTAACTGCAGTTTCAAGACTAACGTACAATATTGTGGAAATGAAATGCACAGCTGATAATGGGTGGTGCAGCTGATTAGAATAGACCCTTCACCGCAGGGACTTGGATTTGACAGTAACCCAGAATGAAGGGATGGAAGTCTCTCTCTACCAGCTGTAAGGATTTTATCTGAAATGAGTTTGGGTTGTTTGGGCCCAGTTCCCTGTAGGTACGAGTGGATATCAAAAATATTCCATAATTTAGCATCAAATGTCAATCTCAAATTCGAGATATTGGATCAGTGAGGTTGCTTTTCTGAAGTTTGATTGAAACTACATTTCGGGAGAGGAACAGAACAATATGTATTTGTGTCTGGCCTTTGCGTGAAGATTAACTAGTGTTGACCAGTTACAAAACCAGAGTAGCTGAATGGGCATCAGTCCATTTGTGACTTTTCATTGGTATCACAGCACAACATCGCAAAAACCACCAGGAGGAAATTGGTGAGACACCTGTCAATCTGACTCTGCTACATCAGGTTATCTTACCCGATATACTGTACGCTGCTTTCATTTTATCCATTTAATAGGTTTCCAGAAGAATAATCAATCTATTTCTCCCCCCTCTTCACTTTCTACCACTTGCTCCCTTTCTCCTCACCAATTCACTTTGCTCAGTCTTCTCCCTTTCCTTATTGTGCTCCCCACATACAACATTATCATTTCCACTTGCGAAATCTAAAGGTTTACTCACCCGCTACCAAGTTGGGGAATGCAACAGATCACTTTTGTAAATTAGGGCTTATTGTTCACAAATAGAGTCATTTAATTCCAACACAAAAGTCTAAATTATATTTCTGAAGCTTATTTTTCTTGCATTAAGTGCGTTTTGCAACACAGACACAAGCATACTTCCAAGAAGCTAGTGTTCACCCTCTCAGTTCCAACATAATACATTTAAGAGCACTTAGTCAACAAATTTATTATATAGTTTTATTTCTTTTTTGTGTTTTTTAAAAGAAATGCTTTTACTGTTTAGGAAATAGTTTCCTGGGAATATCTGCAAGCACAGGATGTTTATCTTTACTACAAGAGCAAACATTTCCTGTTAACTTCCTCCCTCCCATGAGATTTTACCATGCAACATGTGAAAAGATCAGTTTGATACCAATAGTTTTACTTTTTTTTGCTTTTGATCTATTTCCCTTTTCCCACCCTGGTTCCCCTGCCAGCCCATGTGTGGAGTCCTGTAGCTTGTGGAGCTCAGTGGTTAGAGCACTCGTCTCTCAAGCGAGAGACCTGGGTTCGATTCCTGGCAGGGTGAAACCTTGGGCAAGTTTCCTTACTTCACACACCTAATAATAATCCCTCAAGAAAAAAAAACAATAATAAATTGGTCACTTCGATCCACGACTGTTTGTGGGACACTGCTGTGTTCAATTTGGCTGCCACATTTCACCCACAAATATAGTCAATTCACTTTACAGTAAATTATGTGAAGCGCTTTGAGACGTCTAGAAGACGTGAAAAGCGCTATATCAAATGCAAGGATTATTATTATTATTATTATCCCAATCAAAGTGAACCAATATGTGCTCTCCTGACAAATTTCTGTACCATTACTGATGGAAAGTGTACTTGGTACAAAGCAATTTTCCCTGATGCAAGATCACAAGAGACGTATGAATAATAAAGAAGGCCCACTTCCAGAGTTCACAATTTACCATCTGCCCATTCATTTCATAAATGAATCCAGTGTCCTGGCCTCAATCACCTTTCCTGATAATCTGTTCCAGCCATTAGAACACAAAGAATGCAAATAAATAACTCCTGGTGTCTAAATTATCTGAATCTATGCCTTGTAAGCAAGGGAGAAAAAGTTGCATATTTGAGAGAAAGGAGAGTGAGAAAGTGGCACGTGCACAATTTGTTTTGCTCAGCTAGGAATTTGAAACATGCAGAAACCCATCAACATGCTTTGGAGTTCCTCATTCATATGGCACCTACATATGGAAATTACACTTCTTTAGAAAGGAATGCGCACTGTGTCTCAGTGGGAATATACCCCGCTTACCTAATTCCAGAGAGTATTAGATACAGGTTAGGGGGAGCCAAGATTTGAGGACCTCATTGCATTCTACGGGCAATGCTCATTACTATAGTTGCTTCCCGTTTTTGGAATGCAAACCATTAAAATCTATTAATAATGACCTTTCAATACATTAGATACATGTTAAAAACCTAAGTGCGGAAATTCTTATGGTGCTTTACAAAAAATGGCTTTGCACAGCCATGTACAGAGGCATTAAAAAAGAAATCTGCCATGAATTTTACAATGGAACTTTAGCAGACACCCAACAATCTGCAACGTGAAGCGTGGATTTTCAAAGTATAACACCTGCAGCTCTTCCCTGAGTTCAGGAACACAAACACAGAAGCGGTGCTATACCTACCTGCCCACTCAGGAGGAATCCTCCTCAAAAAAATCAACTATCACAAAGAGTACAGACGCAGGCACCAACAGTCAAAGATTTGCATGTTTGAACTAGACAAACATGCTTGATGTTTTTCCGGTGTACAGACACATCCACTTCTTAAAACTCACGCAAAAGTATTTGATATAGATTGCAGCAATAGTGTAAATTTACTTATAACACAGCTGCACTGTGGACCCCAGCTCACTACCCTGGCGTACAGCCAGGGCTCTTTGCATGTGGCCCATGGGTTTTTGATGTAAAAAAGGCCGATTTCTGGGTTATTAAGTGACTGCCTATGTCACTTTCTGTACAGAAAGCAGCCAGTGATGTTGTGACGACCTGAAAGTTGGTCATATATTCTTTTAGCGCGAGAACCAATTGGTTTGTGTGCACCTTGTGCCAGTTGAGCACATACACAATCAAACCTGTCTATCTCACCGAACTACATGTGTATAATTTGCTTGCAAGCAGATCTATAGCACACTGACTGTAGAATTACTTCATCAAAATACTTGAAATCTCTATGCACACTATTTTACAAATAGTCATTACATTTAACAGTAATTACCTGTGAGGCACTTTGAGGTGGTTTGATCTAAGGTGTTAAAAGAAATTCCTCCTTAAAGTTATAGCATTTGTTGTGCAACAAAACAGAGCATTCACTTGCTGTTGTGCAGATGCCTTTATTGAAGTAGATTCGGGTCATAATGGAATTCTTTCAACATTCAACAAGTTTGTACAGGTTAAATGTTAAATACAGCAGCAATTTTCTTCAGAGAGGAGGCACTTTATATGGCTGTGGCTGATCCTCAATATATTTTGACAAGCAACAAGGTCAATTTGCCCTCCTTTAAAACCCTTAGAAATAGATCAGTGAAGGCAGAAACGTGAAAAGCCAGAAGGAAACAGAATTTCTAGAGAATCATAAAGCAGAACTATGTTGTTTGTCTGCCTACCAGAATTGACTGTTCCCTCACAGTGGCATCTACACCATGGGTAGTTTCCTTCCCTTTCTGCTTAAAGGCAACCTGCTGGAAGTAAAGAAAGATTTGTCAGACAAAAAAAGGAAAACCATAAAACCAAAATTAAAAGCAGAGCTGAAAATAATATTACCAAAAGATAAACTAGCTGAAAACTACAGTACAGAGATGATTATCTGCAATAACTAAAACCAGACAAGCAGAGTATGGATGAACAAGCAGTGAAATAATTGGTCATCACCAAAATACAAATTGGTTACTGTGCTACTAAAACATTCATCCATCAGGATATACAATGTCATGATAGTACCATGCTGGGTCAGCTGTACTTTTCTCTCTCTAACTTTTCTTTTTCTTCAACTCTCTCTGGGTACTTTCTATTCTCTCTCGCTCCTACTTTCTCCAGTCTACAACCCCACATTCTTATCTGTAACACCCTTTGCCAAAGCATTGTTAAATACTTATGTCCACGTTGCCAGCTCACACTGTGCAGTTAAATTGCATTCCTTATAATCTCAAGTGAATGCATGCAACTACATAGCTTTCGCTGGAATATAATTCCTGAGTTCACTTCTACATCAGAGACCGATGCAGAAAAGTGGACCTTTGTTTCTGCAGTGCGCAGATAAGCAGCAATTAGGGCACTGCAGTAAGAATACAAACCAACCTCAAAAAGCACAATGTCTGTTAACAAGTAGTCACATTCGGTTTAAAAGGCAGATGGCACCTATTTCAATGTCAACAAATTTAGTGCACCCATAACCTTCAAAAACTCAATAACAATCCTTTTAAGGAACTGACCACAGCAATAAAGCTCTTAGAATTACATGGTACTAAGGCTACACTCTGTTGGAACTGAACTAAAAAATACCAATAAAAAGATTGCAATGACTTAGCACCTCTCTTACTGAATAGCACTGGATCCTTTCGAAGCTTATTCCGAATGAAGCATAGTGACAATACTGAAGGTACTTTGTGTGAAATTACTACTTACCTGAGAATGTAATGTTCAATTGGGCAATGCTTAAAAAGTCCAGTATGCAAATTCACTCAGGATTGTTTTTCTTATCATGTCTTATCATGGAAATTTACCAGAAAATGTAGGTCTAGCATAAAAATAACAATTGTGACAAACTCTCAGTGAATACAACAGGCTCTTCTCTTTAAAATATGAAACGATCACAAACCTTACCTTACATTACACGGGGCTTGACATAGAGAGTTAGCATTGTATTGCAATCTCTTCCTCAAACAGCACATGCTGGTTAAACAAACTTAAGGTGGAATTATGTTGCTGATTGTCGCAATAAATTCTCGCAATAGGAGTTCTTGCTAAGTTCACTCAAGTTTTGCACAAACATTGCTCGCAATCCAAACACAAAAACACACATGTGCAAGGAGCCACTGTTTTGAATCTCCAGCCAAGATATCTGAAATCTGACTAACCTCTGGTCATAACCAAACACATAATCAATACCAAGTAGTTTCATAAATCATTACAAAAGCACTGACTTTAAATGATCGGATTCTGAGCATACTTACCCATTGAGGTTCTGGATCATTTTAAAACACGGCGCGTGAAGTACAACAGAAACAAATGCTTCACCAAACACGGACTCAGAAAGAGTATCCTGCAGGCTCCTATCCAGTTACTCAGAGCAATTGCTTCAACTGAGCTAGCCAACAGGAAGAAAAGTACTTTAACAGACCATTTCTAATGAGGTCACTTATAGGAAACTTGGGTGTATTATCAAACAGTCTCACCCTTTGCCAACGTACTTTTATTTGGGATCTCAACCATTGTTATTTACATCCAGACTGATAGTTAGTGATCCATTAGGGACTTCCACCACCTCAAATAGATTCCACAATACATATAAAGAATATACTTAACTAGCTTTGTGCAGAAGTGCACTACTAATTTCTTTTCCAACCCATTTGTGCTCATGGTAAAGTAAAAACGGCACTGAGCTCCAGAAACTGGAAATATGTGCAAAAATATCATTGCACTTGGCCACCGTGCTCCTCACACCATGAGGCATTTATTTACATAGAGGATGGTTAACAGCTGGAATGGGTTATATCAGGAAGGGTGGTTGAGATTGGGATGCTGTAAGCATTCAAGAAACAGCTGGATGCTGTAATGGGATGACAGCAGAATGGATAGTCTGGAGGATGAGATCAAATGGGTCAAAAAGGCTTCTTCATTGGACCTTCCTCCTCAGGGTGTAGGTAAGCAGGGTCTGTCTTATGAGGCACTTGAGTCATTCTTGATGTTAGAAGCCCTATATCAAATGCAAGTATTATTATGAAAATATACTGAACACAAGGTGGCAGCAGTCCGAACATCACTGGTAAACCAATCTCTCTTCCATCACACTCTGATTAAAAACTAATTTCATATATATATATTTTTAAAAAAAGCTACCCTTACACTCCTGTCCTGACAGCATTTGACTCCTTTCTTCTATTCTGTTGAGGTATAGTTCCATGTTTACCTCGTCATTTAGTCTATATTCACACGTGAACCATGACAGTCAGTGTTAGCAATTTATTTGACTGCAGAGGACATCAGAGCAGAGCCTGACCCTGTCCTCACTAAACATCCGTACAAGAACACCTTCCAGCAAGGGACGCTGGAATAGAACCATTGAAATTTTCAACAAAGAAAAAGGCCATTCAGCCCATCAGATCTGATCTAGCTTTTAAGAGCAATTCTTTCTGTTCCATTTACCTGCACTTTACCCAAACCCCTGCAGTTTACTCCTTTTTAAGTATTTATGTAGTTCCCTTTATGTTCGAACAAAACTTTGCTCTTGGCAATTCATATCTCTTGTGTATTAGACAGTTTACAAAATGATTACTTGCCTCCTCACATTTATTAGTGTAGTTTACTCACATTTATGGCTGTAAGCTAATTTGCTTACTCACATCTAAAGCTGTGAGGTAATTTGTCTGCTGACATTGATAGCTGCAAGGAGACTAAATAGCCGGCAGTTTAAAACACTGCCCTTTCATATTTAGGTTTCGGAAAAGCCAAGAGTGAAAATCTATTTTTTTAAAAAAATAAATCTTCCTTCTCTCTTGAATCTTACTGGACTATGGTTCCTTGTGCACTGATGGTCCTCTGGTAAGTGACCAAACTGCCCATTCTTAGCGCGTTACCATAGAGGGCGTTACAGCTGAGCCTGCTCCAATCCTCACCTTACATCTTCATATTTCCAGATTTCAAGAGGCATCGATGGATAAGTCACCAGGAGTGGAGCCCCTACCTAATTTTCCCCTTCACGAGTTTCAGGGCATTGAGGTGAACTGAACTTCTGCCCTGGCTGAGATCAACTACTTCAGCACGGATTGGGAAGTGATCCTGTGGGCTTTCAATTTGTAATGCTCTGTGACAGCTGCAAAGAACCCAATTACCAATGTACATCAAGTCTATTGCACAGAACACAGAAGCAGCAAGGATAAAATAGCCTTGGAAGAGGAACACACAATAGTACAAAAAAGGATCACGTGACATTGAGAGCAGGATATATTTTGCATTCAAATTATTTGGGTGAATAACAATTAGATATTGTTCAAAATCTTTGAACCTGCTGCCATGTGGATCCAAGCATTCGAATGTCAGTTCAGGAAACACTAGGTTCATTCAACTTTAAATGAATAAATATTGGCTTATCTCAACTCAGTTCAGTTGCTGGGACCCACAAAGAGTTCATTGGCTGCAACAACCAGCTTTGGGAGTAATCATTTGAGCGAAGTTGGAAGAAGCGATTTGTCCCCATGAGAGTCATTGACTGGGACACCTCCAGAAGTTGAATGTCCCAGATTGTGAGTTATAACCAGTGCTGATTGTCACATCATACATTGCATTTTTCATCTCAGGTGGAAAATAAACATATAGATTTGAAAAGCTGGTGACCTGTGTGAGTTGAGTTGGAATGGCAGGATGGATCCAAACTCATTTTACATGAAATTCAGCCAGCCAACAGATAAAGAGAGACTTTCATTCCATCAGTCTTGCTGGATTCAATTCTAAATCCCAGAGGTGATTACCGACTGCAACACACATGATACGTTTTCATTTTTTGGCAAGTATTCTGAGAACATTAGAAGTTGCAGTTGACCTAAGGAGGTGCTATATTATAAAGGCATTGAATTACTCACTACTGACTAATAATAATAGCATTTGATATACTGCTGTATCACGTCATTTTCAGTAATGACAAGAAATATTCATAAAAAAATGCACACACACACACCAGTGGTGTCATTTACACAATATGTATGGTGTTCTGTATAAAGAAACTATAGACAGCGAGCTATACTAGCTAAGGTGAGTGAAGCTTTCTTAACAAGGTTCTCATGCAGTTTTAAAATTTAGAAAAGTTTCAGCATTTATTGCATGGCTTTGAAATATCAGTGGGTTCCCCAGGGATATTGGTGCAATTATGGAGGCACAAAAGACTGGCTTGAGCCACACCTGCTATTGTATACTTCCTGTAAATGTGAGCAAGGAGACTTTTAAATGGAATTTAAAAAAAAATACCCTAAATGTTCCAAAAGACCAGTTAAATTCCACTGTGCAGTTTTTCATTTGTTTCAAAGAGCTATGATTTCCTTGTTTTGAACTTAGTGCACCGAGCCTCTACTTAACATATTATGCACATTGTTTTCATTCAAAAATTCCATTCAATACAAATAAATGCAAGGTACTGCATATAGGAAGTTCAAATAGAAGGCACACATATCCATGTCCAGATAGAACTTGCCAGGGGGTAACCTGTGGTACTGTGTACAGTTCTGGTCACTGTGACATAACAGGACTGTACAGGCCCTTGAGACATCGCAAAGGAGAATGCTTTCTCTGTGTTAGGAATGAGCTATGGGGCATAATTAGATAAACTAGATATCTCAGAGAGGACCTAAGAGGTATATAAGAATTTCCAGCAATACCAAGGGAACAAGAGGGCGCAGGTTCAGGGCTACAAAGGGCAATTTCAGGACAGGCACCATGAAGCATTTTTTTCCACATTTAACTACTAGAACAG